TTTAATGGATGCCAAAAAGTATACTTCTTAAAATTCAACAGGCATCCTCCATTTAAAACTACAAAGCATGCAAAACAAAACAAAGTAAAAGGCACACAAGCATATCTTAAACCCAAAGGTAAAACATTAAAGTCATTCTAATTAAAACTGGAAACTTAACAAGGATTCTGCAGTTCCACAATTTTTAAACCACTACTATGAAAACACATGACAATACAATTAGACAAAATTATCTGTAGAGGATATAACTGCATATCTGAGAGATCCAAGAAAATCACCTGAAAACTATTAGCTATTTTAAGGGAATTCGTGATCTCAGAAATTCTACTACTAGAATTATAAACTAGAGATTACACATGTATACCAAAAGATCTGTACAAGAACAATCAGAGCATAATAAATCCTGTAACTGTAAAAAACCAAAACAATCCAAAAAGTCCAACAACAGTAGAAAAGATAAATTGTTCATACTATGAAATAGTACACAGCTGTGAAAATGAACTACAACTACATGAATCAACATGGATGCATTGTAAAACTTAACATTACGCAAAAGACCCCATTCATGGAAGAATATATCGTGATTCCATTTATATAGTGTTCAAAAATATGAAAAACTAAACAATTTTGTTTAGAAATGTACATGTAGTTAAAAGAACAGGGAAAAAAAAAACTAAGGAATAACAACATTTAAGATATGGCTGCTCCTTTAGGAAAGGAGTGGGAAAGAAATTCTGGAATCATCAGCCGGCTTTTAAAAGTTTATGCTGATTTAAGCTGGGCATGGTGGCTTATGCCTACAATCCCACCACTTTGGGAGGCTGAGACAGGTAGATCACTTGAGGCTAGGAGTTAGAGACCAACCTGGCCAACATGGCGAAAACCCATCTCTACAAAAAATAGAAATATTACCTGGGAGGTGGAGGTTGCAGTGAGCTGAGATTGTGCTACTGCACTCCAGCCTGGGAGAGAAAATGAGAGTCTGTCTTAAAAAGAAAAAATAGTATATGCTGATTTCAATGGTGGGTATCCATGTTGTTATATTTTAAATTGTACATATATATGATTTCATATATTCTTTTGGTTTTATGAAATACATCACAATAAAGTTCAAATTACATAAAATCTAAGAGTATAGAAAAAGCATTCAGACATATAAGTAATAATTATAAACTATTTTTAAATGAAATTTACAATAGCAATAAGAATATAAATTCCTAAAAATACATTTACCAAAAATACTTAGAACCTATATATAGTTTTAGAATTTTCAGTGTTAAAAATAGGATTGGAGCCAGACATGGTGGCTCATGCCTGTAATCCTAGCACTTTGGGAGGCCAAGGTAGATGAATAACTTGAGTTCAAGACCAGTCTGGCCAACATGGTGAAACCTTATCTCTACTAAAAATACAAAAATTAGCCAGACGTGGTAGCTCACACCTGTAATCTCAGCTACTCGGGAGACTGAGGCACAAGAATCCCTTGAACCCGGGAAGCAGAGGTTGCAATGAGCCAAGACTATGCCACTACACTCCAGCCTGGGCATCAGAGCAAGACGACTCTGTCACAAAAAAAAAAAAAAAAAAAAAACGCACAAAAAAATAGTGTTGAAGAAACAAGAAGACTCTGCTCGGTCTTAGCAGAAATAAATATAATTTTGTTCTAACTAAACATCTCTTTTCAAGGGGATTAAATCAAGATATTAATCTTGATTTTGATGTGGGGGTGGAAGAGCTGTAACAAACTGTTTTTCAAATGCTTTTCCAAGAAAATCATTTTGAAAGAGGAATAATGAGGAGAGGCTGATTCAATGGCATACTAAAACTTTAATAAGGACTCTGTAATTCGTAACATGGCTTGACATGGGAGCAGAGAAGATCAACAGAAATGGCTACGAATCCAGAAATGGACACAAGTACAACAGTTCATTTTACACATGACAAAGATTCCATCAAATTTGTGGGGGAAAGATGGCTTATTCAATTAATGAAGTTGTGACAAATGATGACATCTGCTTCCCCCAAAAATTAAGCTTGATTCTCTGTCTCAATTCTTATGTTTTAGTGACTAAAAAGAATTATTTCAGATAGGCATTATATTTCAAATAATAGCTAACTTAATGGAATAATTGTGATTTCTTTATGTCCCGCACTGTTCTAAGTTAATTTTACCTGTCTGATCTTATTTAACATTCTTAACAGCCCTACACAGTAGCTGTTATTTCTCCACTATAAAGATGAAAGACTGGCTAAATAATTCAATCTAGTTCACAGTATTAAGAAGTCATAGACATGCAACAAGCTTAGGTAGTGAAATTAGAGTCTATACTATGACCAATGTGCTATATTGATTTAAACATAATGAAAGGTTAATATGTTTATTATCTAAAACTTATTACATGTGCCTTTTACATCTCTTGGTCCAAAATGGCAATCATCATCATATTATTCTGTGGAAAAAGCCATCCTCTCTCCTTTTTATCTTCATCGAGTGAAAAAGAAAGGCTACATTCTTCTTCATTGCCCATCAAATGCACACACATAAAGGAACAACAATAAAAACACTCTGATACAAGTATAAGAATTGAGAAAAGCGTTGACAAAAGAGGACAGCTTCAAAAGTAATCTTTGTATACATATGTTTTTGTGTAATTTTGTATATGAAAAGGTAGCACCACAGTCAATGGAGAAGATAAATGTTAGTGGAAAAATTAAATAAGTAGGAAGTAAAAAGAAGGTTTAAATTCTGTCATTTCTCACATCAAAATAAATTCTTGATAGATTTAAAAATTAAGATTTTAAAATACTTAACACAATTAAGAAACAGGAAAATGAAATTATGTATTAAATTTGGAAATGAAGAACAGATTTCAAAGCACAAAACTAAATAAGTAAAAGAAATAAGATTTCATTTTATGCAAATTTAAAACATATAAACAAGTCCTTAAAGTAAAAGGCAAATGATAAACTAGGAGAAATATTTAGAGCATATGATAAATGGTTTATATGTTTTACATACACGAATATCTACTATCAAATGGAAACAAAAAATTTGGTAGGAAAACAGTGATGTATATAAAAAGGCTATTCATCAAAGAAGGAATACAAAGAATCAATGAATATATGTAAAAAAGTCAACCCTTCTAAGGATTAAAAGGATGCAAATCAAGGCAAAATTTAAAAATTAATACTCAATGCTGGTAAAGAGTAAGATAGAATCATTTATCAAATGGTTGTAGGAGTTAAAGTTCATGTAACATTTCTAAAAGAGAACTTGAGTTTTTTCAAAAGCCTGAAACATGGTTATATTCTTTGATTCTGTTTTTCTATTTCTCAGAATTTATCTTGAGAAAATAAAGACATATACTTAGCAAATTATGTATAAGAATATTTATTATATTTATAACAACAAAATATTGGGAAATACTAAATTTTCCCCAATAAAAGCAAACAACGGGAGGCCAAGGTGGGCAGATTGCCTGAGCTCAGGAGTTTGAGACCGTCTCTACCAAAAATACAAAAAAATTAGCCTGGCATGGCAGTGTGCACCTGTAGTCCCAGCTACTCAGGAGGCTGAGGCAGGAGAATTGCTTGAACCCAGGAGGCTGAGGTTGTAGTGAGCTGAGATCATGCCACTGCACTCCAGCCTGGGCAACAATCTCAAAAAAAAAAAAAAAATACATAAAGCATAGTATATATCTAGAATGGAACAGTATGGTGTCAATAAAACTCATGCTACCAAAACATGCTTGGAAAAATGCTCATTATATGTTAAGTGAAAAATTTATACAAATAACAGCTATTCATACATTCAGTAAATATTTACTGAGTGCTTAGTATATGCATAGTACAGTTCTATATACCAGGTACATTTCCTGCCCTCATGGAGCCTAGCTGTCATGACTCAAATTTTTTAATTTAATGTTTTATATATACTAATCTCTTTATATACATGTGTGTATATGGGTGCATATGCCTATATATGTATATTTCTACATGTGTATGAACATGTATACATACCTATCAGTATTTGTACAGACTAATGAGTACATATATACAATAAGTATTAGATAAAAGACTACAAGTAAATACACCCAAAGGTCAACAATGGCTCTCTGTCAATATGGTTCATGTGAAGAAATGCACAAGAATAAATTACAAATTTAAACATTAATTGCCCTCCACAATGTGGCTTTATACATTCATATTACACTTCCCTGTCACTAGCCTGGTTTCCTTATTTGTTCCCTCAAATTTTACCTGAAATTAATTGATAGCTTTCCTGTTTAGAATGGTATCTTCCTACTCATAATTGTTCAAATCTGAGTTCCTCTTGCTGTGTTTTAAGTGCCACTCATTCTAGCACTGCTTAATGTGGATAACTTCAGAAATTATTACTAATCTCATACAGTTTATTCCCCCCAATGTGAAGACATTTTTTTTCTTTTTTGAGAGGGAGTCTCCCTCTGTCGCCTAGGCTGGAGTGCAGTGGTGCCATCTTGGCTCACTGCAACTTCAGCCTCCCGGGTTCAAGCAATTCTCCTGCTTCAGCCTCCTCAGTAGCGGGGATTACAGATGCCTGCCACAATGCCTGGCTAATTTTTGTATTTTTAGTTGAGACGAGGTTTCATCATGTTGGCCGGGCCGGTCTCAAACTCATGACCTAAGTGATCCACCCACCTTGGCCTCGAAAGTGCTGAGATTACAGGCATGAATGAGCCACTGCACTCGGCCATGACATTCTTATATTCCTTTATCTCAGAACACCAATAACAGTATGAATTATACAGTAGACTTGAGTGACTGAATGAATGAATGAGTAAATGTTGGGAAAAGACACTGGGTGGGCCAAAGTCAAGCCTGCATGCTCGAAATTTTCTCAGGCAAGTGAGGAACATTTTCTGTGCAGTCCATCCATCTTCAGTGCCGCTTCCACTACCTCCTCCACCCATGGAGAATGCAGGGACATTTTATAAATGAGAAAAGACAATCATCCTCACCTGGGATCAGGCTCTGAGGAAAGCAGTGTACATTCCTTCCTCCTTTGTGCTCCTCTTCTAGGGAAGGGTAGAGTGCTGAGATGGCTGAACTGAGGAGGAAATGGGGAATTGAAAACCTGGGTATGACTTTAAATTCCCAAACTCATTAAATTCCCCATATACTAACTGGGTATGACCCACAAATCTCCTAACAAGAGGTCAATAAGAAGCCTCTGAATGTTTTTGTTTCCCTTAAATGACCAGAAAGGAGAGCTATGAACACTGGCACCATGGGATTTATTTCCAACCCTTTAGAAACTTCAAAGGCTACAACTCATTTATTTATTGAGATTATTATTATTATTACTACTACTAACAGAAAAGCAGCAGCACACTTAAATAGTATCTATTCTCAAGGTATTTTTCTTATTTTGTTCAGTTTAAGTAGAAAATCATTCCACTGCCTTCCCCTGCTTGTTAAACAGGAATACTGGATTTAAGGTACCTGGAGTCTTAGAGAAGTAGCCCAGAACTGGGGCTCCCAGGTCCTGATCAGTCTCAATTCTGCATCAAGAACTTGTAGAACTTTAAAGAGGACCAAACTTCTAAATCTCCAAGGCCTCAGTTTCCTTACCTGTAAAATGGGGGCATGAGCCTTTGTCACCCCAGTCCTTCCTTGCTGATCACAGGTAGGTTCCTGGGCAAATGATAAGCAATTAGTTAAGAGCCCTCTTTCTCTGGATGAAAAACGTTTCATGCATGCCCCAAGAGCAGGACAGGTTTGGGCTCCCCCAGCGCGTCACGGGCTGCTCGAGTGTAAACAACAGAGAACCAGACACACTAACGGTTCTCTGGGAACTGGATCTCCGGGTCTAGGCCACAGATCTGCGGAACCTCTGCTCCTGCAGCGAAGACTCGCGCGGCCTCCGCTGCTAATCCAGATCCCGGCCAGAACTCTGCCCTAGAACCGAACGCCAGGCACCCACACCTCAGGGCCCAAACTACTTCTGCCCTCTTCTCCTTGCCTTTATTCAGTCTTCACGTGGGAGAAAAGCCGTGACGTACCCACCTACACGGGTGTCTCCGGGATTTCTAAACCGGAGTCGCTTCTCAGTCCCAGACCCTCGATTTTCTGTCACTCTTCCTTCAAACACAGCTCGTCCTGCTCTTGTCCGCTTCTGGCTTAGTCCTCCCGAGAGTTCACGTCACTTAACGGAACCTGAGAGAGTGGACCGGGATGACCAAAACACTCGGTCCACACAAACAATGGCCGCAGCCCTGCTGGACCGAAACGGAAGTCCCGGGTGTTGGAGTAGACACTTGCGGTGTTTCCATGGATACGGGGGGGCGGGGCGGGAAGAGAGCGCAGGTGAACGTGACCCCTGATTGGCCAAAAGATCCGGCGCCTCCAGACCTTTGGCCACTGTCATTCCTGCGCTGGAAGGCTGTGCGCTCCGGGATAAGGCGAGGACACACCGGCAATAATGGAATAGGAGTGTTCTCGATGCTTTTAGGGCCCCAGAAAGTGGGGCGTGGCTGGAGTTAAAGGGAAATGGAGCGCTTGGCTTCGGAGAATTCTGTGACCCTCACCGCCTGCCACTGCGGAACCCGTGGACGCGAACCCAAGGAAACGCTGTCAGGTCGCCTTTGGTTGGCAAGGCGTGGTTGTCCTAGCTGTTCCGCGCCCTCGGCGGAACGGGCACCCCACTATCCCTGGCACTAGCTAGCTTCGCTCTAAACTCAAGGTTAGCGCTTTTCAAATTCCGCCCTGTTGTTGACAGAGACCCTCTTCGTTCCTGGTACAGTGGGGCTTTCCTCCCTCCCTCATTGCTGCCAAGTCCCAGGCTGCTCTGGAGAGTCCAGGCAGAGAAGGGAAACGCACAGTGGAGCTGAGATGAAGCCATGAGAAGATGAGCCCCTCCTCAGTGTCCTAAGGAAAATATTTTCGCATCTTTGGGCCCTGTCCCTCATACTTGGGCTGGATTAGTAATATTCAAACATTTTATTGGGCAAGGAACTTTTGGTAGGATAGTCATTAAAAGCAAGGGACTCCTTGGATTCTAATTTGGCAACACCAGTTCTGAGCTATTGGCTGGATTACCTAACCTTTACGCATCAGCTTAATAGGCTTAATATTAATTGCCAATAATAGTAACTATTTTACAGACTTGTTAGATTGAAATGATTAGTGTAGTTAAAATGCTTAAACCAGTTCCTGGCACATAGGAAGTACTCTAAATGTGAACTGTTTATTTACAGTTTGGTGTTTAGCAGGGGTGGGTGGCCCAGCGCCTTTCTGCTTCAGTTCGCCACACAACGAGCACCTCCATTTTTTACAACTCTGGCGACCACATTTTGAAAATTATTGGGCGTGAAACCTCCCTGGCTTCAACATTCAGAGAGTACAGCATAGCATTTTTAAAATGTGGGCTTTGTTGTCTGACTGGAATAACTTTAAAACCTATCAATCATTGTTATCCACTAGGTGGTGTTGAGCACGTTGTTTAACCGCTCACCCTTAAGTTTTTTCACCTGTAAATTGCAATGTGTTTAAATAGCTACAATTGATAGTTGAATTACTGAATGCAAAGACATTGACCAGTAAGAAGGAACACTGGAAGTGGGCTGTTCTGCCACTCTGCTTCCACCCTGAGAATATTACTCATTATTGTTAAGGAATAATCTGGATAAGCCACGTAATTTACTTTTCAGTATTCCTAGAACAAAAATATCAAGAGTTGGCTATTGATGTTTATAATTAACTTATCATTTAAAAAAAATAGTGTGCTTTGAAACTAAATTATTTTGTATCAAGGATGTGAAAGGTATAACTGAGTCTCCTGGACTTTGATGTGTTTGAACTTATTTTGAGAGGGAAGTGGAACCTAGGATTTTGTTTTAAGCAACTGATTGTTTGCTAATTAACTAAGAACACTAATCCTTAAGGATTAGGCCTTTAACTCCAGACACACTGATAATATCTTCTCCATGCCAAGGTTGGTAAATACTGGGAAAAACCAAGGTTTTTTCATGTAAAGGCCTTTAACTCCAGACACACTGATAATATCTTCTCCATGCCAAAGTTGGTAAATACTGGGAAAAACCAAGGTTTTTTCATGTAAAAGAAAGTGAGTAGTTCTCCCATTTCATAAGATGAATCGCAGGAAGGCTCTCTGTAAAATATATATGAGGATTGTAAGGGAGATGATAAGAAATGGCTGCCTCAATGAACTCCTCTATTTCCTGCTTATTGCTGTCTGCTTCTCCTAAACCAGAATACTGAGGTTTATAATGAGAAATGTTGGGATTGAGCACTCTCTTAGAGACCTAGTGTTAGACCTCTCCACATCCCTTTCCTTATGGGCCAGATAAGAATGTAGAGAACAGCATCAAAGCCTAGGCATGAGAACTTAAAACAGCATTTTTTCAAAAAAGCCTGGACCTCACATCTGTGGACCATCTAAGAGACTTCTATAAACTTATTGGGGTTCCTTGACTCTCAGAGGCCATGAAGAAGCTGAACATGTAAACTGACTGTCCCTGTACTAAATCTGAGAGATTATAAGGAGACGAAAGAGCAAAAAGATTTTCTCCAGGTTCTCCCAAAGGCAAATGGCAGGCTTTATGATTCTATTCAATGGTCAACAGAAGTAGAGACCTCTTTGTCATCCCCATCTGTATGACTGCTGCCACTTAAAATATTCCATTAATCAGACCTGAATCTCAATGAACTAACCAAAATTAAAAGAGAAAAAAGCTAAGAGGATCCAGTTTTCAGAGAAACAAAATGTGTATCTGAAGAAATATACCTGCTAAAGGGTAGAGGCCAGTATGAATAATGAAGAGCACCAAGTACAGCATACACAAGACTTTTAGGAATGAATTCTACCCAGTTACAGTTTGGAGTATAGCAGGGGTGGGTGGCCCAGAGCCTAACTGCCTGGGTCCACCACACAATGAGCATCTGTATTTTTTATGACTCTGGAAACTACATTTTGAAAATTATTGGGCATGGACCCTCCCTGGCTTGAACGTGTAGAGACCCAAAGCACTAGCTCTGATGGGGGTCCTGGGAACAGTCCCAGATGCCTAGAGATGTACCTGGGGTGGGGGGGAGTGAAGAAACTGCCTTGCATGGGAAGAGAGAGAGAGCCCAAGTTCTTAGTCCAAGATGTTACAGATTCTTCATAGCAAAAAATTGAAGAATCTAGGAATAGTGTGGTAGCCTAACTTGGGCTAGCCTGACTGACTCCATTTTAGCAGTAAGCTCCAGCTTAGCTTCTCCCTCCCTGCCTCGACCCCCACAGGTGCATTACTGAGTCATGCTGCCCTGAAAGCTTTGAATCATTAAGAGTGGTTCACACTGTTCACAGTACCTGTAACCCATTGTAACTGCATTCTGCTTGGCAAGTCTACCAGCTGTTGTGAATACCTTCCTTGGTGATTGATTGTATGGAAAGTTCCCCCTGCCGCTCCCCTTGATGACTGTGTGGAAGTACCCTTAGCAACCAACAATCCTGGAAACCTCCTGCCTCCTGGTTACCAGCTTCCTTATCTAACTTGCTTGTTCTACTTCTGTAAAATTCCACTTCAGCTAGGCTCCCCCTCCCCTACCTAAATCAAAGTATAAAGGGAAATCAAGCCCCTTCCTTGGGTCTAAGAGAATTTTGAGCATTAGCCGTCTCTTAGTTGCTGGCTAATAAAGGACTCTTAATTTGGAACTCAGAGTGTGGCATTTTCCTTCTAACTCGCTTGGATGCAACAATAGGACTGTGGCTAGAGGGCATAGAATTTTCCATAATTTTGGTCAATGTCACATAACTAAGAAAAAAAAATTAGAGTCATGTCTGACAAGACAGCAAGGAATTTAGGGCCAAGATCCTGATGAAAAGGGAATCTTTCTTTAATCAGCCAACCCAAAACTTGGTGGTTTTCTCTTCAACAATTAGCAGAATTCTTAAGATGAACAGGGAAAAAAGAAGAAGGCTGTTGATATGCACAGAAAATTTTCAGAAGTCTCATCACAGATCAGGGGAAATCAAAATTGTAGTTCAAAACCCACCAAGGAATAGATAGCCAACTAGAATTCCCTCCACTTAAAATATTCCATTAATCAGAACTGAACCTCAAGGAACTAACCAAAATTTTTTAAAAAAAGCTAAGAGGATTCGGTTTTCAGAGAAACAAAATGTGTATCTGAAGAGATATACCTGCTAAAGGGCAGAGGCCAATATTCCCCCAAGATAGGGAGAATAAGAACAGAAGTAAATTGGCAGTAAATAGAGATGTAGCTGCAATTCAACTTTGAGTCAGCTCCATACCTGACTGGATTGGTATTATCTGCCTGCCCTATCTTCCTATGAGAGGAACTCTCTCAGGAGGAATATTATTCAGAACTTCTACAATATTTCATATTCAAAGACTGATATTCAACCAAAAATTATAAGGACAGAAAGAAAAAAGGCAATAGAAACAAATTCATGGTTGACTAAATTATTCAGATAACAAATATATATTTAAACATAATTCTGATGAATATGTTCAATAATGGAGAAGAGTTAAGATCAGGAATTTTAATTGAAAATTAAAATTTTATGAATAAAATTAAAATTGAGAATGTAATCAATGTGTATGATAGCAGATCAAATCCACCAGAGGAGAAGAGGAAAGAATACAAATACCTGAATAAGAAGATTACCATTTTATATGCATGTATAAAATTTTAAATATATATTTTAATTTTATAAATATAAAATCTTAGATATTTTAAGATTTATAAAGTATATATTTTATAAAATAAAATTTTAAATATATAATTTTAATTATATATTACATATAATTTAGTTCATATGTTGAGCTTGGAGATTTTGGTTTTATATAAAAACATTTGTATTATAAAATTTTTATTTTATATATAAAATATATAAATGTAAAATATTTATATAAAAATATATATTTATATGTAAATAAAATCTCCAAGCTAAAGTACAGAGTAGAAGGCACATAAAGAACATAAGAAATTGCATTAGGCCATTCTTGTATAAAATAAATATCTTGAGACTGGGTAATTTATAAAGAAAACAGGTTTAATTAGCTCACTGTTCTGCAGGGTTTACAGGAAGCACGGTGCTGGTATCTGCTTGAGGGAGGCCTCAAGCAGCTTACAATCATGATGGAAGGTGAAGGGGCTGTGGGCATGTCTCACATGGTGGGAGAAGGAGCGAGAGAGAGAGAGCATAGGGAGGCTCCACACACTTAAACAACCAGATATCGTTAGAACTCACTGTCACAAGTATATTACCAAGCCATGAGTGACCCACCCCCATGACCCAAATACC